GGAGTTCCACCCTCGTCTACGTCATGAAGAGCCACGATCGAAAAAAACTCTCCGAAACTTGTACGAACCCGGAAGGAAGATTTTTGGCACAGAAATACTCCGTCATACGTCCAATTTTTTTTTTGAAACTTTGTCCATGCTTAGCATGAGAATCCAACTCTTTAACAGTGTAAACAACTCTGAATGCATGAAACAGTATTGTACCCCCACTTTAAGTTTTGAGCCATGTATTATTACTCTAAATTGGGCTACTACTACTATCACTATCAAACTCAATTTTTAGGGGATGAATGGAAAAAAAAAAGAAAATCGGCCAAACATATCGGCCAAAAAAATCGGCATCATATATTGGCCATTGGCTGCCCTGATTTCTAAATATCGGCATCGGCCAGTGAAAAACCCACATCGGTAGACCTCTACTTAACAGTAAATGTCACTTCACGTATTATAAATAACTTAAATAACACAAATAGACCAAAATATATATAACTTGAATTAAGAAATTAAACAAGGTAACTGTGTAAGGCAAGCAAGCTTCTGCCAAATCAACAGGGGCGGGTTTATGCAGGAAGCACAGCTTTTCCAAATGTAAACAGCTAAAATGAATAAATAATAATAATAATGATTAATATTTTTTCACAAACTCTTTGTTGTGTATTTTCTGGTAATCAAATGAACATGCAGAACATGAGGATTTTGTCTGTTTTTATGACTGGATTCCGCGATTTTGTCCATGTTTTATGCATCGCAGAAATCATAGGGCCCTACTAATGTAGCAAACGAATATGATAGGCTCATTTTGAGAGTAAAAGACGGGGACATTGCTGTTTATTTGCTTAGCATTGAGTCTCTCCAACTAGGTGACAACGTAGCGTTAAATCACCATTCAACACTTTTCAATCTGCTTCGTTACTGAGTCTGACAAACTATGCTGACACACCGTGTCTGTGCCACAACAGGACGCGACAAAGCGACCGTTGAAAATCAGTTGAACTTTGTGTCAGCACGTCATAAAGAGAACGAGGTATCAGTTTACTGCATCCAGTGTACACAACATCACTGATTATAATGGGTTCTATTCTACACCGGACGCGAGCAGCGCGGTGCGATAAAATACAATAGAAATTCTATTGAATTTTGTCTCGCCGCGCGATGTGATGTGACTGATGTGATAAGCATGAGTTCTGGGCCGCGGTGCGGCTGGTATAAACACCAGCATTGACTGAGTGGCCGCGATCAGCTCCGGTGGCCTTAACACAGGCTTTAATGCGCCGCAGACACGTGCCGTGATCATTCGTATTTAAATAGTCTTTTTGCAGTTTAATATTCACAGACAGTCTATATACAGTGTATATATTATACAGTATATATATTAGAAACCCCATGAAAGATGTATGTTATTTAAAAAAATCGACATGGTTTTTGGACTATGGGGGGCACCATTATTTTACGTTCTTACGCCATTATTCTGTGTCGATGACGTCAAATGGTTGCACTCGGTGAGCTACTGGTGCTTATTTCTATAGTCTTTGGCTTTTTACTGCAACACAACTCAGAAAATAAAATACTGATACGATATCACATTGTGTGACTTTTGGTTGTAATTTTCAGTCGAAGGGCAACAAGAGAAGCAATGCAAGACTTCACAAGAAGAGGAGAAAAGAATGGGAAGATGCCTGTGGACGAATAAAACTTCCTAAAGACCCGCTTTTTTTTTCACTCCATTTTAGTCCTGATGCCTTTGAGTCTTTTAGTAGACCACAGCTACTGAAAGAGCTTACAAATGGCTGAGAAACGCTATGTCATCCTGTAAACATGCCGACGCTAATCATGACGCGCGGCCACTAGAGGAGTTTCTCAGCACAGATTTTCCTCGAGATCCGGGCGTTTTAGACTCCATGTGGGGAAAAATCGATGGTACAGCATTTGGTTTAAGCCTATGCTTATCCATCTCCACCTGTAAGCTCTTTCAGTAGCTGTGGTCATCATAACAGTATTTTATTTTCCGAGTTGTCTATTCCGAGTTGGGTTGTGGTAAAAATAGCAACAGGTAGCAGCAGTAGCTCACCGAGTGCAACCATTTTACGTCATTAGAATAATGGCGCCCCCCATAGTCCAAAATATGTCAGGATGGATTCTGATTGGCTGTCAGTTTTTTATCGTTCATCAACTGGAGAAAAATCGTTTTGTAAGTGATTCCAACGATATCGTTTCTCTTTGTCTTTATCGTTATAGTTGTGGTGTGGACTCTGCTATTCTTTAATATTGAGAACGATTTGTAGAACTATATATCTTTATCGTTATCTTTATAGTTATCGTCCTTGGTTTGAACGGGCCTTAATACTATAGAAAAGCACTAAAAGTTTTTCAGTTAAGAGTGTTTTCAGCTTGTTTATTTTCGTATAAAAATACGGCATGCAGTTGCATCAAACAATGGTATAAACATCATTCAATGTAAATTGTGATAATCGTAATTAATAATTGCAACTACAATTTTAAGGGAATAATCGACAATTATGATTTTTGTCATAATCGTGCAGCCCTAATATGTACTGACCTGTTTTCTATTTATTCATCAAAAATAAGACAAATTCCATGAAATTCCGCGGTATACAGTAAATTCCATTTTTATGACTGGATTCCGCGATTCCGTCCATGTTTTCTGCATTGCGAAAAATCATAGGGCCCTACTAATGTAGCAAACGAATATGATAAGCTCATTGCGAGAGTAAAAGACGGGGACATTGTTGTTTATTTATTTAGCATTGAGTCTCTTCAACTAGGTGACAACGTAGCGTTAAATCACCATTCAACAAACTCAAGCCACCACCGCACTGCCGTCTATTCGGCTTTCAATCTGCTACATTACTGACTGTACTGACAAACTATGCTGACACACCGTGTCTGCGCCGCAACAGGACGCGACAGAGCGACCGTTGAAAATCATTTGAACCTTGTGTCAGCACGTCATAAATAGAAGGAGGCATCAGTTTACTGTATGTAGTGTAGACAACATCACTGATTATAATGGGCTCTATTCTACACAGGACGCGAGCGGTGCGGCATGACAAAATACAATAGAACTCTATTGTATTTTGTCTCGCCGTGTGATGTGATGTGACTGATGTGATAAGCATGAGTTCTGGGCCGCGGCGCGGCAGGTATGAACACCAGCATTGACTGAATGGCCGCGATCAGCTCCGGTGGCCGTAACGCAGGCTTTAATGCGCCGCAGACGCGTGGTGTGATGTGCAGATCAGCTCTAGTCTCTAACGTCACTGAATCTGCAGTTAAAAATTAACCATCCATTCATCATATCATCATGCAAAACTAAGAATTAGAATCATTGTAATGTGACGATCAAATATAGGTGCGGGTGGGTGGCGGGCGGATAATTTGAAGCAGCGTACTCGGGTGAAGTTTGAGCTCATCCGTACATCTCTACTAAAAAAATGGAGCGCGCTCTGCTTGACAAACTAAGTAATTACATCATTCAGAAGCATTTAATCTGCGGGCTCAGGCTCATATCGACCGATAATATCGGCTAGGCATGGGCCGATTACCGGTTTCAAGATATACCGCGATTTGAAAATTTCACGGTTTCAAAACCACTGATATTTTCCGTTATACCGTTCCTGTGGTATGCGCTGTTTTTCATGTGTCCTCAGAGACTGAAAATGTAGGAATCCCTCAGGTTGAGTGCAGTGTAGAGAGTAACACGACCCTCCTCCTCCTGTTGGTGTGAGCGAGCGGTCAGTCACGTGTGTGCAGGACGGCCGAACTTAAGGAGCTTCCCCTGGAGCTTACGCGATCGGCAACCGGCCGTTTTTTGTCTTATTGCAAGCAACTCATCTCTGTTCTGGACTTGCACAAACTGCGTTGCAATGCAATCGTTTTCCAAAATGTCATTTATGTGAAAATATGAAGTCTGTAAAGGCCCGTTAAGACAGGCCAGAGACGTTGAAGACGGACGCACAGAGAAAAATACTGTAGCAGGCAGATCACTCACTGTTCATGATGCACGAACTATTGGAAGAATATCCTAAATATTGATTTGGGGTTTTATATGAATGTGTTTCTGAGGGGAACTGACTGTCTTCAGAAAAGTTTACGTGGTATTCTCATCTCGTCTCTGCATACTTCTTATTAAAGCAGTTTCAGCACTGAGCTGCTTTGTTTACATGGGTAACCAAGGAAATACTGTATCTGGTGTTCCATGAGCACCTCCTGCTGTCAGAGAGTGAATTTGCGTCTCATTCAGAGCTTCTGCTGTTTGTTTCGTTAAGGCATGTAGTATAATTTCACAAAGCTAGTCAGAACATTCTGTTTTTGCTTCAAATTGGGTTATTATTAAATCAAATTATGTATATGAAATTATATAACTAAATGATATGAAATGATATAAATGATATGTATATGAATTATATAACTAAAATTAAATAACT